TCTGCAGTGAGGCCTGCATTAGCAAGCCGAGGGCAGATTTTCGCCAGATAGTCGGTTGCCTGTGTAATGAAAGAGCAATTGCTAGCAGCAATGAGGACCTCCTGAGGGCAGGAAACTACATCTTTAACCTTTTTTTCATTGATTTTCTCTCCTTGGGAGCACTTACTGGCATAGCACTGCGTGTTCCAAACTTTTCGTGGGCATGCCGGAGCAACCTCTGGGGGACTTTAATGCAGATTCTGATTCTGTGGGTCTGGGCAGGGGCTGGGAGTCTGGATTTTGAACACGCTCTCAGGTAATGCCTGCATCCTTGGTCCTTTGATTACTGAGGCTGTATAGGTGACACTTACCTGTCATGCAGTGGTTATAACCATTCAGAACCCTGAGAGTACATGTGAGACTGTACATGTGAAAACTGCCCTATGGAGTTACTTTAAAATATCCCTTGAATGGAATCCAAGCTTTTCTTAGCCTTCCAGTGACCAGGAGTAACACAGAACATGTTATGCTGGCTATTAGTTTTTGATTCTTTAAAATGTATTATTATTAATTAATAAACCTGTTGAAAACAATCTTTCAGCATTATAAAAAGGAACACACCAACTTGTACCTCATAGCAAGGGCAGCCAGGCTGTTATCACTAGTGAGAATTTGAGATTTCTTGAGAGTAAGCTGAGACGGCTAAAGGGCCCTTTTATAAGCGTTTGCATTTTTGTCTCTACTGATACCTGGCACTAAGAGGATTTCAGTTATTTGAGAGGTTTGATAAGCCATGGAGTCATTCACTTGGGAACCGAACATTTTGTAGATAATCCACTTTTTAACATTTTTAATGTGTTAAACTGATTTAATATTTTTAATACATTAAAACAGATTTTACCTTCTTCCCCGATAAATCCTTGTTTTATGCTTTCTCTGGAGGGAGAGTTGAACTCTTAGAGGAAAGAGGGAGAAGGAGAAGTAATCAGTTTACTGGGCACTTGCTACTGATTACCAGACCCTGTCCAATGCATTATGTAAGTTATATAATTTCCATTAATGACTGTATACACTGAGGCTGAAGAGGAGATTAAGTAGTTCATCTGAAATCTCGCAGATAGACCATATCTGTTTTGACTCCAAAACCTCATCCTTTGCACTGAACCAGGGCTTATCAAACTGTACTTAGGCTGTACCATAAAGCTTAGGGAAGGGGTATAAGGGTCCCTTATCCAGACGGATCCATGAATATTGGGCATCCTCATTTAGAAGAAAGGATACTTACACTAAAACAAAACTGTTAAATAGCATTGTTTTACATGAAGAAGCCATCATTATTGCATATGATTACTTAATAATAGTTTCACAATAGCTACTGATCCCAAACATAATTCTCCTAATAAAATTAAAAGATTATGGTAAAAATACCTGACATCTCACCAATTATTCCCATATAACAGGCTTAACTCCTGTACCTACTAGAGAAAATTTCTAGACATTTAAAACAGTTGATAAGAAATATGTGCATCAATGTCTGTGATACTGTACAAGATGAGTCCGTCACCCATTTAGGTGTTAATATATTTGTATATTTTATCTACATGTGGAAACATACCAGAAGTAGTAACTAGCACCCTCAGGATGTTGCTATTAATAGCAACTTTTCTTTCCTTTCCTTTTCCCCTTTCCCCTTTCCCCTTCCCTGCCCTCCCCTCCCTTCCCCTCCCCTCCCCTCCCCCCCTTCCTCTTTCCTTTCCTTCTTGCTGTTGTTGCCCAGGCTGGAGTGCAGTGCCATGATCTAGGCTCACTGCAACCTCTGCCTCCTGGGTTCAAGCGATTCTCCTGCCTCAGCCTCCCGGGTTCAAGCGATTCTCCTGCCTCAACCTCCCGGGTAGCTGGGATTACAGGCATCCACCACCGTGCCCAGATAATTTTTTGTATTTTTAGTATAGACAGGGTTTTGCCATGCCCAGGCTGGTCTTGAACTCCTGGGCTCAAGCGATCCACCCACCTCAGCATCCCAAAGTGCTGGGATTACAGGCATGAGCCACCATACCTAGCCTGTAACTTTTATTTTCTTATTTTTGTTTTTTCTTAGTTTTACAAAATTTCTCAATGAACCTGTGTTGTTTTTGTAATTAGATTTTAAAAGTTATTTTTAAGAAAGGTCTATGTCATCATGATATGGTTCTAAAGTATAGATACATGCATGACTTTCAGAGTTAGTATCTTTTCAGGTTTGAAGAGCATGTTCACATGGCCAGAATTGGTATTATTCATTTTTACCATTAAAATAATTAATTTTAAAATTGAGCATAAAGATATGTGAGTCTCATTTTTTTTTCTTATTCTCCAGAAATATAATAAAAAGTAGATCTTTACCACCATAATCTACATTTTTAAACATACCATGATCAAACCTTCTATATCAAACCTGTTATTATCACTTCCTGTCTTTATTTGGATTGCTGCTTGTGGGCATAAGGCCAACTGCAAGTAGCAGCCTCAGCAAATTGCATTCATCTTACTTTAATATGTATACTTAGTTTGAAATGAATAAAAAGATAGTACAGTCATTGTAAAGATTGATTCTTTGGATTTTCATAAATTATTCACATCTCAATAAGTGAATTCAGAGTAAATGTTGGTGTTTGTATATAAGCTTATTTTTTTAGGCAGTTATATGAACACAAGAAAGCATATTTTTTTTTCCATGTCGAAAGGGAAGTATGGGCATTCAAACTATTCAACCACTATTTATTGAGTGCTTCTATATGCCAGGCACTGTGCTATACCCACAACCTTTTAAAAATTTATTGTGATCTTTGGAAATATGAAAACATTTTATACTAGCCTTGGTTAAATCTCAGTTGTAAAGATAAAATATGAAGTGTACTCTTAATCAAGTGCTATTGAACAAGCAAAACAGAAAAGGCAGACAACGTAGCTTCCAGTTAAATCCTTTCCCAGTCTGTAAATGGATATATCAACAGTGAGGTAATCATAACTGTCTCCTGACCCATATTGTTGCTTCTGAAAGATCGGAGGTTATGGCAGACATTTTGGGAACATGTAACCTTGCACCATTGCTGTGCTCTGTTGCTTGGACCCATGAATCTTCTGTGGCACAGTTCAGTGGCAAGCTCCAAAGTTGCTCCAAACTCAGCTGAGTTTCAGCATAGGAAACATTAGAAATGAAAACTATTAATACAATATGATGAATCAAGTGAGTTAAAATTCAGGGAGTAAAAAACAAGTGTGATTAAGAACCTGGAAATGAGATGGAGGAACAATTTATTAATTGAGTTTGAAATTTTTGCAGGCTTTATTTCAGGCTGGAGAACTTAAATGGGGGACAGATGAAGAAAAGTTTATTACCATCTTTGGAACACGAAGTGTGTCCCATTTGAGAAAGGGTGAGTGAAAAAAAATCTGTATAGGGCAGTTACATTGGTAAATTTGGAAAGTGCATGAGCCGGTGTGACAGAATACCTTCCTCATAGCAGGGACTTAGCGAATGAATCAGTTTTTGTATTTCTTCCTTTTGGTGACCTGGAGAAATCTCACATTGTCTTTGCTGCTGTTGTAGCTTTTACAAACTAGAGCTCCTTAGTCCACCCTTCACTACTGGAGGATGGCAAGGGAGGTCAGATCTCTAGATTGTTCTTCCCATAGTCACACATCACTGGGTAGTGGCTCACTACACATATTTCCTCCTAGAGGTTGGTACCCATGACCTCATCTCTGGATAGTCATCAGCACTTGTGGTATCAGTTGGGAATGAATTTAGTGTAAGTGACAGAGAACCCTAATAGTGGCTTGAAAAATCAGGGTTTTTTTCCAGAGGTGGGATTCCATGGTTGATTTGGCAGGACCTGAGATCTTTCAGATCTTTCTGTGTGTTTTTTTTTTTTTTTGCTCCATTATCCCTAGTGTTCTGGTTTTCTTTCTCGTATTCATTTCTTCGTTATCACAAGATGTCTGCTCTAGCTCCAAACTTAACCATTTCACAGCAGGAAGGAAAGGAAAGGGTAAACCAGTCATATCTGTGTATCACTTTTTGTAAGTGAGGAGATTTCTCAGCATCCCCTCTGGTGGATTTACCTTCAGGTCTCATTGGCTGTAACTAGTAAGGGGACTGGGAAATCAGTGAACAAAGTACACCTGCAATCCATTGCTTAGGGCTTGGCACATTGAGGCTCTGAGCACAAGGTTCTGTCAGCAAGGAAGAATGGGAATTAGTGTTCAGTAGGACACTACCTAATCAGAGTAGGTATCTTCTTTCTGGAAAGAGTGATCCTTATGTGATTAGGAAATCATTTTTATTTTTTCTAGTGTTTGACAAGTACATGACTATATCAGGATTTCAAATTGAGGAAACCATTGACCGGGAGACTTCTGGCAATTTGGAGCAACTACTCCTTGCTGTCGGTAGGTGATTTACAATGTATTCATATTTTTGGTGATAAGAGCTAGAGTATTTTATTCGATTGAGGCTGCATCTGAAAATAACCACCTAGGTGTGAAAGGAAGAGTTTGAGATGATATTTAGGGGAAGCAAACTCATAAATTTCCAATTCGGAAATTTATTTTGATGTTAGAAATACAGGATTGTCTGGTTAGTTCATCTAAATCCTATGGAAATACTAAGATAATTGTTTAAAAATCATTTTGAAGCTGCATTAAAAATATTATTTCTTGAAGAACCTGAAATGTCATGGACATTATCTCAGAGGGTTGTAAACATTATTTCTGATACCTGTGGAATTTTAGAATTCTTTTGAATATTGTCCTCTCAGCTTTGAGGCAGATTAAGAAATTGTCATCTGGTTTAGAAAAGAAGAATATCTTTGATGTAATAGAAGATGTGATGATGGTTGTTTTCAAATTAAATAATTTAGTTTTATTTTAATTAAATATTCAGAATAATCTGGAAAAATTGGAGAACTGAATCTGTGCAGTTAATTGCAGCATTATATACTCTCCAAAACTAGGGTGAATCTAATTTGTGAGTCTCCTCTAGTCCTTTTTTCATATGGGTCTGCAGTGAGCCTCTGTCTGCTGTTTGTTCCGAGTATTTGGCATTGAGCTCACACTTTGGTGCTCTTTGTCTTCAGGAGAATAAGCTTTTAAAGATGTGCATGAACCAGCTCTAAAAGTAGCCTTTCACTTGAGTATGCAGTTAATGAACTTTTACTAGAAAACTTTTAGACAGGTCCTTCATAATTAGAATCCACATACAAATTGCCGGGCATGGTGGCTCACGCCTGTAATCCCAGTACTTTGGGAGGCCGAGGCGGGTGGATCATGAGGTCAGGAGATCGAGACCATCCTAGCTAACACGGTGAAACCCCGTCTCTACTAAAAATACAAAAAATTAGTCGGGCATAGTGGTGGGAGCCTGTAGTCCCAGCTACTCGAGAGGCTGAGGCAGGAGAATAGCGTGAACCTGGAGGCGGAGCTTGCAGTGAGCCAAGATCGCACCACTGTACTCCAGCCTGGGCGACAGAGCCAGACTCTGTCTCAAAAAGAAAAAAAAAAAAAGAAAAAGAAAAAGAATATGTAGAGAGTATAGGAAGATCGCACAAGAGTTTTAAAAAATTAGATAGCGTAGTAATCTTACATTACTTGCTTGAATGTCTTGGAATGAAAACTTCCAAGGGGTTTGTATAATTTATTGGTGGTGAAAAATATGTGGAATTATAACAATCCAGGCTGCCCAAACTGCAGTATCCAGAAAGTCCTCACAGAACAAAGGGGCATAGAAAAAACGTGTGCCCTTATTCTCCATGCCTTTCTATGCAGACCTCAGAACTCCAAGGAAAACCCAAGCCAGTGTCTAAGAAAATATTTGGTGAGTGAGGACGTTAGATAAGCTTACAGCTCTTTAGCCTCTGGTACTTTTGTGTTTTTATATAAGTAGAGCTATAAATGCAGGAAGCAGCACTTGATTTTTAATTACTTAATCCTTTTCATATCAGAATAGCATTTGACCATTGTACTGTTCATTTTCTTAGTGAAATCTATTCGAAGTATATCATTGCCTCCGTTGCAGAGACCTCCATTATGCCTATGAAGGAAGTGGGATACCATGAACCTCCCTATATAAACAACTTTTCTTGTTATTATTATTCTTCATTTTTGCTTATGTTTTAGATGATAGAACCTTGGGAATTTTTTCTCTTCTTATAAACATTCTACGCAGTTTCTACTAAGTTGTTATAACCGATAATTGAATTTCAACCCCACCCGGCCGTGCCCGTTTGAATCCGCTAATTTTGAATTTTAAGCATTTGCCTCTCTTCTGTCTCCTATTTTTTTTAAAGGGAGCCGGGACCAGATATCCATACACTTCATTCAGAGGGTCCATGGTATCCGTCAGAATTGAATTTGATCCCTCTTGCTTAACTCAGAAAGGAGTTTAGGAAGAATTGTGCCATACCCTCTCTTTATTCCATGATTAAGGTAATAGAACCTTCTTTGAATATGTTTGGGGGTATCCAAGCAGGAACCAGTAGTTGCATCCATGAAAGACAAGAATGGGAGAACCTTGATTCCCTTGTTTGTGTTAATTTAAATATCTTAGTGTGCATAATTAGAGCCAATGAGGTTAAAAAGCGTACAATAATGTTCTGAATAGAGATGATGGGCTCCTAAGTGACAAGCATGGGTGTTGATGTGGCTGAGCTCTGTGGTTGGAACTTAAGAAGCATTATTTAGTAGTGGGTGACAGATGACTTCAACAAACCCAAACCTCCTTGCCCTATTTGATAATAATGTTTCTTTTCCTGTCTTTACCAGTTCCACGCTGTCCTTATTAGTCCCTTCTTTCTTATTTCATATCAGCTTTCCTTTCCTTTATCGTCTTTATCACCCTTAATCTTGATGTGGTTTTCTAATTCAAGAAAGAGCCAACCCAAGGTCATATGGGAGTGAGTAAAGCGAGCCCCTAGCGTATTTAAAGTATCATTTTTTTGTTCTTTTTTAAAAAACAGTGCTCTGTGGGCCTATAATTACAATTTAGCTTTAAGGTCTTTCTGGGACTTCTTTTTTTTTCTTCTGATAAAGGTTGAATGTGGGACGATGTACAAAGCAATGCATTGTCAAATTGAGAAAGCCCTTTAGTTTAGCATGTTGTGGTGGTGCTGGCCCAAAAGGACACTAGAGAGTTTTACACCATGCACCTTTAGCTTGAAACATTATATTTATCCATGCGTTCTGCGTGGAGACCAAGCAGATGCAAAGCCGCGTCCCGGCCCTTCTGTCCTCCGGAGGGAGAGCCAGACATGCCCTGGCCAGCCCTAAGGGCACTGCCCGTGTTAGCTGATTACATACTAAAGTGATAGAGGCTATGTCTGTTTAGACGGCTTGATTTAACTATAGGTGTTAAAGTTTCCCATGTCTTTTGTGTTACCCAGAGAGAATAGCTGAGTGTCTGAGTTACATGGTAGCGAAACTCCCTGCCTAACCATTCCTGATGCTGAAAGTCACAGAGATTAGCCCACTTTGGGAACAGAAGGTCTATGAATAAAAATTTGTTGGCTCAGTTATTTTGTTAGTTTTTAAATATTCTGTGGCTTCCTGTGAGTCATAGGAGGTTTAATGCAATAGCATTCTGGTTTCAGGAGATACATCTGGGGAACTATAAGAAGCTCTTCTGCTCTGCTGTGGAGGAGAAGACTAATGTGTCATGGGGAAAGAGCCTCCTGCTGTGTGCCTCTGGCCGCCACTGCCTTCCTTCAGCACCTCTAGCTGCATTTGTATGCCAGGCTTGGACACATTGCCCCTTATTCATACTAGCATGCTCACGACCAACTCATACGCATCATAGAAGAAAATAGTGGTGCTTCCTTCTGATCTCTGGTGGAGATCTCTTTGACCTGCTCTAGTACTTAAAGTATACTGTATTGTTACTCAGGTTT